TTCTCTAGGTCAATTCTCAGCAAGGATCCTTATTATTATTGTTTCTTGTTGTTTTTATTTACTTTTTTTTTACAAAAAAAAAAGAAAAAAAATAAAATAAAAATCCTACTTGCTACACACGCAATAATGAATAATAATGCATATCGTATAGCAGAGCGAATATTCGGTTGCTGGTTACACAGTTCACCTTTTTTTTCGGTTGCAGACTCAGGCATCAAAACGTGTCAAGGCATGCCTTAGGTGGTCTCAGCATGTTGTCCCCTATTTTGTTCCTTTTTTCTTGCGTGCTTCGGGATTTGCTGCTTGCTTGCGTCGACAATCTATGTAACACAGCTAGGTACAGCTGCATACTATACAAATACGACCACATTATTTTTTTTGTTCCTGGGCGTACATACATTACTTTCTTTCTTTGTTCCCCAAGAAATTCCTCCCCATTATTTAAGAAATAATGTCTTGGCAACTGCAAGGATAATGCCTACCTACATACCGACATTCTGGAACTCTGGAGTATACGGAAGTCATAGTCCACTCGGCTTTCGGTCTGGAACATTCCAGACCAGGACCCAACCAAAAATAATCCAAGACAAGATCTATCCGTCCCATCTGGGTAAGAATGCCATGCATAGCGCTATGCATGGCATTATTTCTGAAAATGTACAGCATTGAATTGATTGAATTGAATTGCATGTTACAAAGTTGAAGTTTTTATTTTATGCTTGGCGTTATTATATTGCTGCTGCTGCTGCTACAATTTGATACTGTACATTCTTGACAAGACATTCTTCCACAGACAGACAGATAGATAGATGACAATAATAATAATAAATTATGGCTAATAGCAATACAACACTATCAGTAAGTTAGGTAGGCAATAAAGATTGCCACTGGAACCGAACGGAACCGAAATTAATTCCAACAAACTCCCGTCCCGTCCTTTTCCATTATTCTGTGTCCATTATCCTCTAGGAGTTTGTAGTGTACCAGACTTGTTGCCAAAGTTAAAAAAAATCGTTAAGTTACGGACGGCTACAGCCGAGGAGTGATATGTAATCATGCCGACCGATCCGATCGGATACTCGCGGATGCGATACGTATCGGTGGTTACGATTGATGGGATTGGATGGGATGGGATCTGACATAATAGAATAGGATAAATAACTAATGCTATACTGTGCTATACTCCGTACTTATGCTATGCTTACGCTATCTGTGTGCATTAACTATTTGTCGCAAATTACGGAGTACTGCTACCAGTACTGCCACAGAGGAGTTAATTTTGATTGATTGATTGTAGATATTCCTTAGGTATCCTCAGGCATATTATCTACGGAGTACGTAAACTGGGGAGATTATGGAACTTGCCTCTTGTTTTCGAGAAAACAGCAGTAACCACTTACAGTGAGTGCAATAATTATCTAACTTGGACCCGCCAGCAGTAGTAACTTCAAGTTAAATCACTGAGTTCTATATGCTGATGATAACTTATAACTGCTACATCGTCTATGACTGTTCGTGCAGTAGCATTCATCTACCAGCGCTCACTCTGCAAGCAATATCCATGTAGTCGTACTACGTAAAATCCCGCACTGCGGTTATGCATCTACGTCCGTAGCTAGCTGCATGATCTACGTAGCTGGCAGCTAGCTAGCTGGTCTAGCTGGTCTTCTGACACTGATAATCGAGGGCTGAAATGGCGCCGTTGCTGCGGGGTGCTACTGACTTAGTTCTGTACAGTACGGAGTACAATACGTGATATAAGGCTGCATGATTTGTTTTTCTCATTCATGACCAAGCTTGTAGAATACGTCCTACACGCCAGTCCATGTTATCTCTGTCATAATGCATATTTTTATGTTGGACAGGAACACTGCCTCTAACAGTCAGCATACATCAGAAATTAGCATAGTTATTACTACAGTTAGTCCAGTAGATACAGCAAGGATAAGGTAACACCAACACTGACGAAATCTCAGCAGATGCAGTCCCTGCCTAGTTAGTCCTGTTATTGCGCGATTAATTTTCTTTTCTTGCCTTGTTATTCCTGCTCCTGCATAAGGCCTTTCTTACTTACATTCAGTTGAGTTATTATTGATGTGCCCTGCCAAGGCGATGATCTTACTGCCTGCGCCTGCGTACCTGCTTACTTGCGTATGCAGTCTACTGTCCAGTTTCTATCCGGTTTCTTCCCGACTGAGGGAATTTGCTCTGTATTACATTACTGCGCTGATCTTCGGTGATGCCGTGGCTGTAGTAATTTGCTTAGCTTGCTTGGCTTTTTCGCCTCTTTTTCTTTTGTCTTTTTTTTTGCTGTTCTCTTTTCCTTTTTCTCACTCCGTCGGGATTCGCAGGGCCCTGACTAGTCCGCAGATCATCAAGATAGCTTAGCTGTAAAGCATTATATATATTTCCAAGCAGTACTCCTCTACACAAACATCTCTCTAGACAAGAACGACCCTCACAATCAAACCATTCCTGCCTCCTGCCAAGAATAGCAAGCCCACAAATTAGCAACTACCTAGGCAACTATTTACATGTAACTGCAGGCAGTGAAATATTATTTTATCCCCCACTCTTGGCAAGGACTCTGTCCTACACTGTCATACAGGTAGGTACTGTACATAGATAAATACCTGATTTATGATCTGCGTCTGATTTCCAATGGAGTATCTATCTATTCCCGCCAAGCATGGCTGTGCAACACGTGCAGTTGATCCGGCGTAAAAACAGGTAAAGATGTAGTCTATCATCCCTTGCTGCGGTGAGAATAAGAGAGAGATACTACATAGTTCGACTGGCGGAGGGTATAATCTTGGCTTGGCTTGTAACATTGAATCTTGCTATCAGTCTAGTCTCTCTAATCTAATAATCAATGAATGATGATGAATGATGTTTCCTGTCTGGAACATTCCGATTGTCCGGAAGCAGGTGACATCTAATCTGATCTGATCTGATATAATACGACTTCATGGTATACATATGCAGCCTGTTGATACTCTACCTAATGGACAAGATCAAGCAAGGGATGAAACAACGGACAAAAAGTAAACAAGAGGATATCTGATCTCATCTGATCCTCAGACGGAGCACACTCCTGTAAATAGTAAATCCTGCCGAGACTGGAGAGCGGATTCTGATACCTTTTCTGACTGTTGATTTAGTGTTTACATGCAATGTACAGTACACCTACCTTGGTTACCTGAGGGTACGACGCGGTGTGATATAATATAATATTATTGATATGATATGGTCTGCTGCGAACAATACTGAATCAGTGACTGTCGATGCATGAGACGAATTCTATTAGGTAGTGGATGTGGCATTTTTAAAGAAAGCTGATGATAACGCGGAGCAAACAAAGTAAATAGTTGAATCCGTCTTGACAGAGAACTTTTTTTTTTGGTACTCGTTCGTTTACCAATCTACGCATTAATCTCACTTTTGATAAAATTACTTTCCTAGAAATGAGCAGATGGTGATTGGGCTTGCTTGCTTGCTTATTATTCTATCCACTATCATTTCCTCGCTTGAGTTCACGCACTTGCTACAACGAAAAAAAAAAGAAAAGAAAAGAAAAGAAAAGAGAGAGAGATGGGAAGAAAAGAAAAGGAAGGGTCACTTCCCTAGGGCAATATGAGTATTACCCTTTTAAGCGAGTTACGAAGACTACACAAAAGGCACTGTGAACGAATAAGAAGAACCTGACAAAGCGGAAAGTGGCAAGCCTATCAAAAGTACGGCGTAAATAGAGTATATACAGGAAATATATTAATAAAATAATCCAATAATGCAACACCTGGGTATAAGAATATAATTTCACTTCCATTATACAACAAATCTAACAAACTAGCAAGATTTACATTGTCATGAAGTTCCATTATGCTCACCATCCTCCACCGGTTGCAGAATAACTCGATCAAAGAGCATGGTAACAATAAAGACAAAGGATGGATTGGTTTCAGAACTTCTCTGTACTGTACATACTCCCATTTATTCATAAATAAATATGGGTAGAAATCCCCTAGCTAGAAGACTTAGACTTCCTTCTCTAATCATTCCTGTTCATTGGATTGCTGGAATCAATTCTGTGACTTGTTCTTGCGAGTGTCTGGCTGCTTTTTTTGCTACCATATATAGTGATGTTGATTTTCGGATATGTTGAGTTATAGTAGTAAAGTATCCTACCTAGGTAGTTCCTCTTTATATACCAGGAAAAAGGCAAAAAGGGCTTTCCCAACACGATTCACAATCGAAATTCGAGATTTCTCCACATCACATCAACAAAAACATATACGAAACGACCGTGGACTGTGGTAACAAGCATGCCAAACAACGTCGAAACCTTCTTCCTGCCTAGCAGCCTAGGCTCTGAAATCGAATCGAAATGGAAGATTTATTTATTTATTTATTTGACCTTTGACCACAGCAACGAGCAGCAAGCAACGAGCAATGCAACGAGAGCAGATCTAGCTATTAACTTCAATTTGTGTTCAAAAACTGTCTAGTTAGTAGTGAGCTGGCCAGAATGACACTTTGTTTATAATTATGACAGAGCAATCAATGTTCAGCAATGCTGTTGACCTACTCATGAATACTGAGCATGTAACACAACAGAAAAGAAAAGGGTTTGCTTCATTCATACTTCATTTATGCTCCTGCTGGATTCTGTTCAAAAGTCTGCAGTGGGAGAGAATTGATTGTAGATGGTAGAACCACCGATACTGAATGGATGGATAGATGGTTTTATATATATATATATATAATTCCCATTCCGCTCACATGTATTTAATATTGTTCTTTGCGCCAGGAGTAGCTGCTTCAGACTGACCAGGATAATATCATTAATTACTCGTGAGAACAGAATGCTGAATAGAGAATTGAATTTCTACTTGTCTTTGTCTAGTCTATCTCCTTCCCTTCCTTACTCCCTTCCTCTCTCTCTCTCGTCGGTTTTCTTTTCCTTTCTCTCCTCTCTCTTCTCTCTCTCTCTTTCTTTTTTTTTACAAATCAACGTTTCTAGAAGTCAGCCTCTAGATAAAATTTATAATAATCTATCTGTCTGTTCGCTACAAGCAGTAATAGCTTCGGTGATAGTCACGCAGACACAACAGCTCTCTCTCTCTCTTCCTTCAATATCCCACCCATCTCAGATGATGGAGAACACTTCAATAACTACCATGGTTATGCTATGCACCTATGTATGTACAGTACGGTAGTTTAACTAGTTTGATTATTTGCTGTCTGTCAGTGACTTGCTGCATCTCCTCTCCTCTTGGGTTGATATTGACGGTGCATGTATGTATGTATATTCATGGCTTTATGAGGCGTGTGTATGTACGTATGTACCGCATAAGATTGCTGTTAAGTCTAGTTTTATTTTTAGTTCTTTCTTTATTTTTCCTGATACGTCTACTGTGAGAATTGCAATGGCGATTATGTGTTGATTCGAGCATGGTAGTAGTATGTACAGTACAGTACAAGCCGATAAATAAAGCCCTCTATAAACGAAATATCTGTCAACCCTGACGTCTGTCTACAAAGTTACCTGCTTCTTCACCGTAAACTCGCCCAGCACTTCTACCTCCTTCTTCTTGTCCGGCGGCACGCCATACCCTCCACCACCGGGCGTCTTAATGACGATACGATCGCCCGCCTGCATCGCCATCGACGCTTTTCCTCCTACCGAAATCGTCCGCTCGGTGCCATCGACCGGATCCTTCCGGATCCACAGGTTGACTCCCCTCTGCCCGTCCTCACCCCCGGCCATCCCGTAGGGTGCGATTACCCGCCGCTCTGACAGGATGCTCACCTGCAGCGGCCGCCGTAGCTCGATGTCCCGGATGCAGCCGTCGCCGCCGCGATTGCGCCCCGCGCCGCCGCTGCCCCGGCGGATGGAGAACTCGCGCAGCAGGACGGGGTACCGCTTCTCCAGCGTCTCTGGGTCCGTCATGCGTGTGTTTGTGCTGCCCGTGTGCACGCCTGACTGCCCTTCCCAGTTGGCGCCTGCCCCCGCGCCGCCGGCAATCGTCTCGTAGTAGCCGAATCCCTTGGTCACTTTCCCCGTCTGCGGGTCTTTGCCGCCGTATCCAAACGTCAGGTTGTTGCATGTCCCCTGGCTGGCGCCCGCCACGCGGAACGCCTTGAGGATCACGTCGATGATGCGCTGCGCCGTCTCGACGTTGGACCCCACCGTCGCTGCCTTCAGGCTCGGCGACAGGATCGAGTTGGGCGGGCAGATCACCCGGATCGGGTTCAGGCAGCCCTGGTTCAGCGGTATGTCCGTCGAGATCATCGACCGCAGGCAGTACATGATGCCGCTGTACATTACGGCCGGCGGGCTGTTCAGGTTGTTGAGCGCTTCGGGCCCCGTGCCCGTGAAGTCGAACGTCGCTGACCCGTCCGTCGGGTCGATGGTGATCTTCAGCGCCAGCGGCGTCCCGTCGTCCATGTAGTCGACTGCCTCGAGCGGCTGGCCCTGGAACCGCCGGCTGAAGTCCTTCAGCAGGTTGCGCACCGTCTCCTCCGCGTTCTTCTGCACTGCCTGCATGTACAGCTCCACCACCGGCCAGCCGTACTCGCGCACCAGGCCCTGGATCAGGTGGATGCCGCGGTTGTTGGCCGCGATGCCCGCCTTCAGGTCCGAGATGTTGTCGTTCAGCGTCCGCGTGCCGCTGCAGCCTGGGTAGCTGGCCGGCACCTCGTACAGGTGGTGCACGACGCCTTCTTCGTCGAACACGCCTTCTTTCACCAGCTTGAACGACTCGATCGCCGCGCCTTCCTGCCACAGCTCCGTCGAGTTGGGCGGCATGCTGCCTGCCGCGATGCCGCCAATGTCCGCGTGGTGCCCGCGGTTCGCGACGAAAAACAGGATCTTGGTGGGATCGTTCTCGTCGAAGACGGGCGTCGTGACGGTCAGATCGGGCAGATGAGTACCGCCGGCGATTGGATGGTTCGACAGGAGCACATCGCCCGGTTTCAGCTCGCCCTTGCCGTACTTCTGCGCCTGGTACGCGATCGCATAGCTCATCGACCCCAGGTGCGCCGGGATGTGCGGCGCGTTGGCCACCAGCCGCCCGTCGGACGAGAAGATGGCGCAGCTGTAGTCCAGCCGCTCCTTGATGTTGGTCGAGATGGACGTCTTGCGCAGCGTCTCGCCCATCTGCTCGGCCACGCTCATGAACCGGTGGCTGAACACCGACAGCTGGATCGGGTCGACCTCGTCGGCCGACACCTTCTTGACCTCGGCGTCGAGCAGCTCGATGACGACGTGGTCCGCCAGCACGGTCGCCTCGCTGGCTGGGTCGACGACGATGGTCTGCGTCTCGTCGATGATCATGGCCGGGCCGAGGATGACGCTGCCCTTGGGCACGTCCTTGAGGTGGAAGATGCGCGCGTCCACCCAGCCTTCCTTCTCGAAGTAGACCTTGCGGATATGCGCCGGTTTGGCGTCTCTCCGCCGCTCGATCTCCTTCAGCTGCTTGAAAGGGCTCTTGACTTTAACCTCCATCGCCTTGCCGACCGATCGGATCCGGATGTCGTCGACCAGGATCTCGCGCGGCTGCGTGAAGCCGAACTCGCGCCGGTGGCGAGCGATGAATCCCTTGGCGAAGTCGCCGTTTTCTGCTTCGGACTCGGAGATCATCAGCGCCGTGTCGCTGCCCCGGTACCGCATGTTCAGGAACATCTCGTGGCGGATCTGGTCGAGGCTGAAGCCCTCGTCCTGGAGCTGCTTCGTGGCGCGCTGGCGCAGGGCTTCAGCCCTCTTCTCGATGCGGGCCGCAGAGCTCTCGTTGTAGGTGGACGATTCGGGCTCCTGCAGCTCGACGACCACGTCGGCCAGAGCCATGCCGTACGCCGAGAGAATGCTGGAGAATTTGTGGATCAGCACCCGTTTGATGCCCAGGTCGCGCGCGATGGCCGTCGCGTGCTGGCCGCCCGCTCCTCCGAAACAGACGAGATTGTGGGCGGACGTCTCGTAGCCTCGTCCCTCGCTGAGGGCCCGGATGGGTCGCGTCATCGACGCGTTGGCCACGAGCAAGAACCCCATGGCGACCTCCTCCGGCGTCAGCTTCTCGGAGCTCTTCTTCTCCGCGTTCACAACCTCGGTCAGCTCGAGGAATTTCTTCTTGACCACCTCGAAATCGAGCGGACGGGCAAAGTAGTCGGGCAGGATCCGGCCCAGGAAGAAGTTGGCGTCGGTGATGGTCAAGGGACCGCCTTTGCCGTAGCATGCTGGTCCCGGGTAGGCGCCTGCTGATTCAGGGCCGGTGACGAAGAGGCCGTTCCGCCAGAAGAGAATCGAGCCGCCTCCGGCTGCGACAGTGTGCACGTCTAGCTGCGGACTCTGGATGGCAACCTGGGAGACGGTCGTCTCGAAGACGTGCTCGAAGGCGCCGCTGTAGCGGGACACGTCGGTGCTGGTGCCGCCCATGTCGAAGCCCAGCACGGGCGTTCCCCCCTCCTCGTCGTAGCAGGTTTTGGCGCACCCGATCACGCCGGCTGCTGGGCCCGAGAGGATGGCGCGCAGACCGGTGAATCGCGAGAAAGACGTCAGACCGCCGTCGGACTGGCAGAGCAGCAGCTTCTTGGCGTTGTGGTCCTCGAGGCGGCCCTTGAAGCCGTTGCGGAAGCCCTCCAGATACTGGGTGATGACGGGCGAGAGGTAGGCATCGGCCGTGGCGGACTGAGCGCGCGGCACGATGCGGATCATGGACTGCAGCTCGGACGAGACAGAGGCCTTGAAGCCGATCTCACGGGCGATGGCCGCGACGGCCTTCTCGTGGTCAGGGTAGGCGTACGAGTGCATGAAGGCGATGGCCAGGGTGCGATAGCCCTCGTCCCAGAGGGCCTGGAGGTCCCTGCGGACCTTATCGAGATCGGGTCGCTGGAGAATGCGAATGGCCTCGCCGGTGAGGCCCTCGACCAGGTCCGGGTCGGAGGATATGTCGATGGGCTGGGGTTCGGGGTCTTCCGCGAAGCCCTCGATGGTGACGCGCTCGTCGACCTCGACGACTTTCTCGTACAGGCGATCCAGCTTGGAGACGGAGAGGTCGAAGATGCTGGGGCGGGCCTGGTTGCCGATGATGAGCAGGTCGCGGAAGCCCTTGGTGATGAGCAGGGCGACGCGCTCTCCTTTTCGCTCGAGCAGGGCGCTGGCATAGTCAGAACAAACTATCAAGCTACGCTTAGGGTAATGTGATGAAAACATACTTCGTCGCCACCGTCGTGCCCATACGAATCGACTCCACAGGCGTGATATCCAGCGGCGTGCCACGGGGGATCTTCTCGCCGGTGGCCATCTCCAGGATCAGGCGGATGCCCTCGATGGGGGCGTCGTCATATTCGCCGGGGTTCTGGGACAGCAGCTTGAAGATGACATCGTCTTTGCGGCCGGGGATGCTGGCCCAGAAGTCGCAAAAGGTGCCACCGCGGTCGATGGCGATCCGTATGCCCTTTGGCGTTGAGCTGGCCATGCTGTCGATTCAAGTAGATAGGTAGTTCAATCCATGTGATGATGCAGTGAATATAAGGAAGAATGCAGCAGCCAGCGCAACACCCCTCGTGCTGTCTCTTGACAGTGGAAGCGGAGAGAAAGAGAACAGCAACCTTTATCTATCGCTCATCGCTATCAATCAGTCGCCTACGCAATGGAGGGGAACATTCCGGCAAAGACAACGCGATGCCGAATGGCGGGGGGAAGCCGCCGGAAAGAGATGGCCGATGCCGAGAAGAACCGCCAATCAGGGCGGCCGGAATGGCGGAGAGATGGCCGATTCGCTGGAGAGGACGGTCATTTGCCAGCCAATCAGATTGTCTAGGCAGGTCGGTACGTGAGATGTTTCTCCTGCCTAGTTAGGTAATTCAATATGACCCCTACTATTACCGATTATATAGGAAGATTGTGGAGGAACAAGTTAGCTAAGGAGAAAATGCCAGCATTCCTCGTCCTAATTGCAAGCAAATATATATTTATGGCTAATATACTTTGCCTAGATAATGAATCTTTACCTACTGCTTGCCTAAGCTTAAGTGCAACTTTACTTTATACTGCAGTTACAATGAAAATGCAAGAAATACTCAAGGAATACGAATAGGGATCCCGCCCGAAGCAGATAAAATAAATAACCCATGCACAAATACACATCATCTCATCAATCATCACATAAAAGTTTCTACTCAAACAGCCACGGCGCAGACAGCGCCGTATCGCCCGTCGTCTCCAAGGCCGTCGGAAACCCCCAGTGCAGATCCGGCTGCGTCAGGAAGCTCTGAATAGAAGGGTCGTCCAGCGCCGACTGGACGAGGAAAACGCTCTGTCCGTCGTGTACCTGGCCGGGAGTGGAGTCTGGGGCTGTTGCTGATGCAACCATCCTGGATGCAGATGCCGATGCAGATGCCGATGCAGATGCAGATGTTGATGCTTGACCGACGCAGCTCCCCCGCTCGTTGAATTCCTGCATAATCTTCCGGATCTCGCAGAAATGCTGGTAGAAGCTTGCCGCCGGCAGATTGCCGTCGTGGACCATCGACTGCATAATGTCGGACGCTGTTTCGACGGCGTCGCGGTCCCGGTCCGCGTCGCTGTGGCGCAGGATGCTCGACATCATCAGGATGATCGTTGAGGAAAAGAGATAGTGCGCGTCGAAGTACCCGAAGATGGCCATCCCGCCGTCGACCCAGAGCTGGGTCAGCAGGCTGTTGGAGCTCCGCGCTGCGTGGATGCAGGCGTCAGCCAGCGCGTTCGTCATGGGGGATGGCACGGAAGCTTCGTCTTGGAAGCGCGACTTGAAGACGTGGAAGAAGATTGGGCGGGTGGTCAGAATGACGCACTAAGTCAGTCAGTCAGTCAGTCAGTCAGTCGTATTACTTCTGAATTGAACTTAGGTGACACACCTGGTTGAAACACAGATGCAACGACGCAACGTTCCGCGACGAGTATCGCTGCGGATTGCTCGAGCAGATGCGGACGCTCTCGGGCAGCGTCTCTGCCCACGAGCGCAAACTGCGCAGGATCTTGTGCACGCTCTGCACAAACGACTTGTTCTGGCCCGACCGGCCGTAGATGTCGCTGATGATGTCGCCCGTGATCCGGGCCAGGCGGAGATGCGCGACCAGATGCGCCGGATCGGAGAATTCCTCCCGCTCGCTGGGCGTCAGGCGCTCCATCGACGGCAGATCGACGTCGATGTCGCTGTCTCTGACGGTGACGGGATGGCCCAGCTTGGAACTGGTGATCCGGTCGATCGTGTAGATGCTCCACCACACGCGGATGCGGTGTTCGCGCTCCACGGCCGATATCATGTACCCTTCCGGGAGATTGTGGTGCAGGCCCAGCGTCAGACAGAGCCGGAGCGCCATTCCGGCGTAGGTATAAGCGGAATTGGTGCGGTTCAGGGCCAGAGAAAACAGCGACAGAATGAGCAATGTCTCGATATACGGCACCGTCGCCTCCTCATGCAGATCCTGGAACAGACTCATCGCCTGCACAAAGAAGCCCGTTCCGGGAATGCCGGCTCCCTTGGTCGACGAGAGCCTGCGGTTGGAGTACATCTCGCCCATGGCGAAGAGGGCAAAGAGCTTGCAGAGGAAGACGGGGTCGTCGAAGCACTGGTCGCGATACAGCGCATCCATCCGCTCGACCGTCGTCTTGCGCAGCATCAGATGGTAGTCGTTTCCGAGAAAACGCAGCGCGACCTTGAGCAGCAGATGCGCGTAGGCGCGGTTGGGGAGCTGGAAGGCCGGATCGGACATGCGCAGCAGGGCCCGGTCCTTGAAGTAGCTGGGCCTCGACAGCGGCGTGACGGGCTCGTTGCCGCTGAGGAACTGGCGCAGACGCGTGCCAAACGCGGTGCACGCCGCCTCGCCGATGTAGACAGGCTGCGTCGAGGCATTGTCGGGGACGAACCAGGCGCGGTCCTCGATCAGGGGGTTGCGCAGGTTGACGTCGGAGCCTTCCTCGCCTTCAGCAGCAGCGGTGGTGGGCTTGTTCTGCAATGTCTGAGGGATCTTGCCGCGACTGGCCTTCCACAGCTGGCTCTCCTCTTCGAGTTTCTTGAGATAGCTCTCCTGGATCAGCACCTTGCGGTCCCGCATGGGGTAGACGCAGTCAGCGGTGCTGCCGGAGACCTGGCAGTTGTGGCACGGATTGCCGCCAGAGCATTTGATTTTGTGTGAGTGGCATCGCCGGCAGCTGAATACAGATCAGCATGTTGATTTTCAGCATCTTGATTGATTCAGTGGGTACAGGTGCAGGGAATATACGCACGCGACAAAGCTCCGCCGGGGCCTCTTTGCCGGCCTCTCGGCAGTTGCATCATCCAGCGGAGACGCACTGTGATCGTGGCCGTGGTCGTGGCCGTGGTCCTGGCCATGGTCCTGGCCCTCTCTGTCGGTCATTTTATTATATGTTATATTTTGTAGAAATAATCGAGAAAGCAGTGCAGCTGCATCGACTCAGCTGGGGTCGTGATTATCCGGCTAGATAAGATCTCGGCGAAGTCTCGCCGAGCCGAGCGGAGCCCCGCCGGACATAATCCGATCAGCATTATCATTATCATTATTAAGCACGAATTAATTAACGTAATCCACCACCGAGCTGCGCGGACCACCGAGCTGCGCGGTCCCCGAGAAAAAAATTCAACCACCAACACAACCGTAAATCTTGAAGCATTTTGCAACCAAATTTAATGAATTTGACTATATAAAGAAGGAGACTGTTTACTAGGGCATTTAAGCCGATTATGGCCTGTTTGATTGCAATTACTGCATCTTGGTGGCCTTCGAGTCCGTGGTCTAGATGATTCCTGTAGTTGCTCCTCATGCTCTTGAGCTTTTTGCTGTCCTTCAGCACCTGTCAAGCTACCACCAGTTGCTATAAAGTATCTTGATGCCTCTCGCTTCCTTTTTAGACGCTGATTTGCTGCACGAAGTTGATTAACTTCTTGCTGCAATAGGAT